TTTCTTCCTTTTATAAGGAATTAAGCAGCAGTAAGAGAGTTGTCTGCTGCTGCTGCCTCTTTTGTTGCTGCTGCTGCTGCCTCTCTTGCTGCTGTTGCTGCTGCTCCCTCCATTACAGCTGCTGCGGTCTTGCTTGCTGCTGCTGTCTCCCCTACAGCAGCAAACTGCAGCAAAATAGCCACTTATTTGCTTCGTAGATACATTTGCTGCTGCTACCAGCAGCAGCAGCAGCACAAACAGCAAAGACACCACACAAGCAGAAACTCCCCTGCTGCAGCAGCAGCAGCAGCAGCAGGCAACTAACTACTACTATTATAGGAACTATTATTATTAATAATTATTAGTAATTATTAATAATTAATAATTACAATTAATAATTAATAATTAATTAGTTAGTAATTAATTATTTATTTATTATTATTTATATAATTATATTAGTAGATAGTACTATACGTACGTAGTATATGTATATGTATATGTACGTACGTAAGTTGTACATATGTATATGTATATGTTGCCTTTGTGTATATGTATATACATACATACGTATATATATATTATACGTATACAGATAGGAGGCAAAACAACAATATACGCTACTGCTGCTGCTGCTGCTGCTACATTTGCGCTTGTTGCTGCTCCACAGCAGCAGCAATAGTTGCTGCTGCTACCGTTGCTGCTGCTACTATTGCTGCTACTTCTATTGTCCTTAATGCTGTTGCTAGCTCTTTGCTGCTGCTGCTTCTGTAGTCCCTATTGTGGCTGCTCTTGCTGCTTTTGCTGCTATGGTTATTATTATTATATTGCTGCTGCTGCTGCTGCGGCTTCTCTTGCCGCTGCGAGCTGCTGCCGCTGCTGCAGCTGCAGCTGCTGCTGCTGCTGCTGCGGCTGCTGCCGCTTTCGGCACTCAATAACGAACGGCCTAAGGAAAGCAGAGACAGCAGCAGCAACTCCTGCTGCTGCTGCTGCTGCTGCTGCTGGGGGGAGAATCTGCGCTACAGCAACATATACAGAAGTTGCTGCTGCACCTTATATTAAGATTGACGTGCTGCAGCAGCAGCAACATCAGCAGCAGCTTCTGCTGCAGTTGCTGCTGGTATTCCTGCTGCTGCTGCTGCTGCTGCTGCCGGTGCCACAGCAGCTGAGCTTCTTTTGTCCCCTCTGTCTCCAGGAGACCCCTAACGATCCGAACAACCTGTCTCTTTTCTGCAGCAGCAGCAGCAGCTTTTGGTGCTGCTGTTGCTGCAGTATTTATGGCTGTGCAGTTGCTGCATCTAATGGCAGCAAGAGGTCTGCAACATTTTGTCTCTCTCCTTCCTCAGCTGTTTCCTCAATCGGTTGCACTGCTGCTGCAGTTGCTGCAGTTGCTGCAGTTGCTGCAGTTGCTGCAGTTGCTGAAGTTGCTGCACTTTCTGCTGTTGTTGCTCTTTCTGCTGCTGCTTCTGTCGGTGCAGCAGCACCAACATCAGCAGCAACAGCAGCAGCAACAGGATCAGCAGCAGCAGCAGCAGCAGGATCAGGAGGATCAGAAGCAGCAGCAGCACCATTAGGGTCTAAGGGACAATTAGGCCCCTGCAGCAAAGGAGAAGAGGAGCCACTTTGCTGTCTCTTTTCTATAGGAGAATAAGCTGTGCTGCTTGCTGTTCCTTTGTCTCCTACGCATGCAGCAGCAGAAGAAGTATTGTCTCCTGCTGCTGTATCTGCTGCAGCAGCAAGCAGCTGCTTAACACGACGCAACACCTATATAACAAAAAAGACATCACAAACCCTAAACCCTAAACCCTAAACCCTAAACCCTAAACCCTAAACCCTAAACCCTAGATTATACTTAAACCCTATTGAATTGTATATCTATATGTCTCCCTCCTTATATCTATTTATATATCTATATCTATATATATATAGTGTCTCCTTTTGTATATAAAAGTGTCTCCTTGTACCTCATTAGCTGATGGTCTATCTTGTGGATTAGGTTTAGCCATCTCCAACATCAACTCCATCCAACATCGCTGATGAGTAGCAACATGAGGAGGAACCTGCAGCAGCAGCAGCAGCAGCAGCAACAACAGCAACAGCAACAGCAACAACAACAGGAGTAGATAACACCTATATCCATACACAACAAATAACATATATATATATATATA